GCGAGGACGGTGAAAACGCCTTCAAGATGTGAAGTTCTACAAACTCCATTAATGTTTGTTGTAATTCAGGTCAGAGTTTCCAAACTCAATATATTATTTAGTTAATTAGTATAAACAAAAATAAACCCAAAATATGCAGTTTATTATATAGCATAGGGATATTATACTGAGTCCATAAAACTCAGATTCGATTTTGTGTTGATGTCAATGATGCCATTTATTTTCTTGCTTTTTTATACAGTTTTTATCAAGTAGAGTACCTAAATTGTTCTGCAAAGATGTGAGACTCTGCTTTACTTTATTAATCCAACACTGAAACATTATGAGTGAAACAGGAATCCTGCATGTTTATAGACAGGTGCTCTACTCTCTTCAATTAACTATCATCACCAACCATAGTGCACCTCTGCAAATGGATAAGAAAGCCAGCATGCTTAGGGGACATCTTAACATATGGATACATGTAGGTTTCTCCTATTTCAGATGGAAGCATCTTGGCCAACACTGTGGTAGTACAGACACTACCTATTCTGTTCGTAAACATGCAGTTCTAATTGAAGTTCGTGCAGTCCTGACACTGGATGGAGTTGCTAAAGTTAAAAATATGAAGAGCCACGTGAAGTGTATCCTGTCGAGCATCATAGAATAACGTATAGTCAGTAAATGAGCAAAAGCCAATAAATTAAACGTTGTGTGCAGAATTGCTGAGTGGTCCTTGTGTCCTTGTCTTCCCCAAATACATAGTTCATACATGATTTCAGAAAACGATCCTGCTGTCTGGTAGACTGATATGAGGATCCCTAGAGGAGTACACAAAAGGGAAAGTCGCAGGAGAATTAACTGGGATCTACCCCGGGCTGAGATGGGAAAAAAAAAAAGATAAAACATGAAGAGGGACACTACCTGTGAGAGTCACATAGTTAAAATCCACATCCAATTTTGAGGGAATTATATTAAGGAGAAAATATTAATCATCTTAATCATAAAATATCCCATGACTTTGGCTGCCCATGGAGTCCACTTCTTCTACTGACCGTACCATCCTATCAAGCTGGGGCAATTCACTCCTCACCCCCGTGAGTGAAGCAACTTCATTTAAATTATCATAATTAGTATCATGTGACACAGGTGTTAACTTCATTTTATGTATGCAAACACCATCAGAAAGGCCAATAACCTGTAATGATACAATGTAACCAGCAGATACCAGGGCGGAGGATTTGACTATGTTCACACAGGAGATCTTTCCATTGGACTGCACTGCCTAGAGGAAAGGAATCAATTTACCAGAATCAATTTACACAAGGGTTTTCTGTTTTGTTCTGTTTCCTGAACTGGCACCATAATACACAAAGAGAAACACATTAAGAATAATCATTGGTTTTGTATCTTCCAAGAGAGGAGACTGAGTGTTCTTCAACCCCAAGTAAATGAGAAGAAATATAATGGAGATATTTATGTTGCATTTGGATAGTAAGAAGTGCTATAGTACATCCTATTTCTTCATTAAAGCACAATGAAAATAAAATGAAAGGGTATAGAGTGGGCAGCACAGCCACTTGCTCTGCCCCTAAGTCCATCCAGGGATCTCAGGGGTGCCTTGGTTTTGGTGGTGGCTGGGGAGTACGGTGCTGTGGCTGGGCACAGCCTACGACTCTGCCTGTTAGTCAGCTTCCCCAGTACCTACCTGCTGAGCTTCCCCAGTACCTACCTGCTGAGCTTCCC